TCTTAGCTTTTCTTTTCTTTTTTCTTTTTTTTTAAAACTTTGTTTTGCTTTTCTTGCTTTTTCTCTTATCACTGGATGGCAGTGGGTTCCTGTAGTTTGCGAGTCCCCTAGTGCACGCAGCCAGCGATACAAACACACGTCCCCAGGCTCTCCCGCACACTGGCTCTTGCTCCTGCCTGCAGCCCCAGCTCCACTGTGCCGGGAGCCTGCGGCCAAGGCACTTCCACTGCTGGGATCAGGGACAGAGCAAAAGGGAGCGATGCCCTGGCCGTAGCCTCAGCTCCGCAGAGGGCTGGGCTGGAAGAGAGGGGAGCCAGCCCAGACTCCAGAGAGAAACGGTGGGGCGACAAGAAAGGCTTGGGGAAAACTCGATTTGGGGTTGAGGATGGGGTGGGGGTAGGTTCTGGGAAGAAAAGACCCCCAGCGCTCTGTCTCAGCTGTGCAGAGCATTAAGGGACCCTGAGGCTGCAGCGTGCAAAGCCTCAGCCCCCACCCCACTAGGTCTCAGCCTTCTCCAGGGAAGCTTAGATGGCTGGGTCCTGGAGTGGAGCAGCACCTCACTTTGCTCCAGGCCATCTGGGTTTCCTGGTATTGAGAACGGCTCTGAAAGCGAGGCTACTCATAAACTCTTGATACTCAACCCGGCCTTATGAGGCAAAGGCGCCCATGGTGTTTTGTTGGCAATCTGTATATATACACAAATTACATTGACAACATATGGCAGGGATATACAGAGAGTGCATTTTCATTGGTAAGTAAATAATAAGGGTGGTGATACCCTTAAGATACAGCATTTGGGCATGTGTGTGTCGTCCTGGAGGGATAAAGGCAAGATATGGATGATCATAGGAGTAAACCGGTTGATTCACACTGAGAACTGTCCTAGTCTGCAATTCACAAAGTGGACTTTTGAGATTCTTGTCAGATGGGTGGAAGAACTGTGTGCCAGCAATGTTGCAGCTTTGCAGGGTTTGGCAGCTAAGGTTTCAAGAAGTAATAAATTATTGCCAGATGAATTTTCATTGTCTTTACTATTAGTGATGTGTTCCAGTTGTGGCAGGAGGATGAGCGACCCTGTTGACTCTATATGCTTTACTAGGCTGAACAGTTAAGCCAATTAAAACTGAGTAGTAAAACTTAACCCTAAAAAGCCATGGAAATTCCAGCCCACTCAGTTTACTGTTTTAAAACTCTGTGAATGAGATGGGGTGGGAGTTGGGTAAAGTCCTGGGATCCAAAAATTCAGGGTGCCGTTCCTGACAGACATTCAGACTTCCTACAAAAGAAAGATGTGCTTGTTTGTGTAAGCATGTCTGAGAGTGTCTGGAGGGGCATTAGAGCGAGAAAATGGGTAGACTTAAATATCCCTATCATAGTTCAAATTCAAGAGAATCCACAGAACGTGTCTGCAGCTCTCAGCTGACAAAAGGGTGGATGTGGAAGAGACTAGCAGTTAGACACAGGTAAAAGTCTCTTTGGAATGAGTCCCCACAGTCTATCAATTTGGGGGCACAGAGAGTGCTATCCTCACATTTAAAAACCACATTGCTCCAAATGTGATCCTATCACCTTTGCCCAGATAACCCCCAACGTTAGCCACTTCGATGTACATTCAATGGCACTTTTACAATTCTGATTTTGGGGTGGCCATCCCGGGGAAAGGGGGTGGCAGTGCACAGGAGGAGAGAGGGGAAGCCTCAGAGGTTTGACGAGAACAGTAGACTGAAGCCTGCGGGCTCACAGGGAAGGCAGGGAAGGCATGGCACCCATTTCATTGGGGGAGGATGCACATGGTCAGGAGGCACATGTCTGACCCACAGCAGTGAACAAAGTTAAAGCAAGTACAAGAGAGGATGGAGAGGGGGCAACAGAATAAAGGAACTGAAGAGGAAAATGGGAGAAAAAATGAGCTCGAGAATCTGTGGATATGCCATTAACAGCCATCGTAATGAACCTCCGTCACCAATGTTGTCTTTCGGGGTATGCCTGTGAGAGAATGCAACGGGTAATTGTCTGAATATGACTACTCAAACCTTACTGTTACTCTTATCTTAATCCTTTTTCACTTATTCAGTAGGATCAAGAAACTGCCAGAAATATTTTGTCACACAGTTTCCTTGAGGGACCTGGTTTTCTTTATTTAACCTTGTATTTGAGTAGGCTTGGCATTTATGATGTGGACCTGTGTATTTTTCCTCAAAGGACTCCTCTGTATCAAACACTGTCAGTGTCCTCCTTGTGACTGTTAACACCTGGCTTTCTTTTTCTGTCACCTGTCCCCACTTTGTCTACCTTTGGTTCATTGAGCAGATGTTGGGACTTCTCTCCTTCAGGGATATCAGAACAAGTGTACTGACTGCACACCCCAAAGCTCGGCTGGGCCACATGGTGATAGTGCTGGTGGTAGCATGTGTTTTGTGTGGGGCAAAGGAAGCAGGTCATTTTTGCTTGGAAAAGCATTGTCATCAGGTGTGTTCTAAATCCCTGAGACTGTCCTAAGCACCTTACACGTATTATATCATCTGTTCTGTCAGGGCTTTATCCCCACTGTTTAAGATAGTGTCTGGCACATCCTAAGGGTTTATTAAATATTTGTTGAATAAGCAAATAGTTGAATCAGTTTTCTCATTTTATCATTGCAGCAACCCTATGAAGTAAGTGTTATTGTCCTCATTTTACAGATGAGGAAACCAGCATTAGAGGGGTCAGGTAATGGCCCAGGATCACACAGCTAGTAAGTAAGTTGCAACCCCTGGATTCACATGTAAGCCTGTTGGACTCCAGTCTTTGTCTTATGCTGTGCTGATGAATAGTTGCAGCACACATTTTCCCAGTTTGGGGAAATCACAACAGTGGTGTTCAGAGTTCAACAATATTTTCGCCATTCTTTTAATTCAACTCTGCATGTTCCTGTTTGTATCCCCTAAACCCTAAGCAAGGAAGATTCAGTGCCAAGTAGCTTCTTAGTTGGCACAACATGCTTGTTCTGATTAATCAGTGATTGCCTCTGGCAGAGGAAGACAAGGGCACCAAAGAAATTACCTGATATTTTGGCTGGTGTTATCTTCGCCTATAGCGACACCATTTTCCTCTGTCTGGTGTGAAAGAATGAAGGAGAATCTTGCTATTATCCAGTTTAACTCATGTTAAGTGTTGATGTGGATGAAGAGGTTTTCCCAGTGTGATGCAGCTAACCAAGAACTGCCCCAGAACACACACATCCCAGCTTCACGGCTGGCTGTCTCTTCAAGTGAGTTCCTTTTTCTTTATCAAGATTGCTGGTGGTTGAGCTTCTGAGTTTGAATGGTGACTTTTGATTTTAGT